AACAAAAGAATTGCCAAAAGTATTTGATTGATAGTTTTGAAAAAATCGATAAACTCAAATAAAAAAAAATAAAATTCATGCATTTCATTAAAAAAGTTAAAAATTAGTGTATTTATAGTGTATTTATCCTCTTCAAATTTTGTACCCATGACTTTCTCCAAATTCATGTATTTTTTGACACTTTTGCAACTTTCGAACCACTTGGAGCTTTTTTAACCTCGTCAACTTTATATCCATGAATTTTTTATTTTTTTTTTGAATTCGTGTATTTTTTGACACCTTTGCAACCATTGAACCCATTCGAACTTTTGCGCCCTCGCAAAATTTGTACCCATGAATTCTTTTTGAATTTATGTTTTTTTTTTTTTTTTTGACACCTTTGAACCCTTGAAACTTTAATTTGCACCCATGAATTTCGTTGAATTCATATATATATATATATATATATATATATATATATATATATATATATATATTCGTTTTTGAGGAAGTACCCTTGAGACCATTCACCCCTTTTACTTAGGAATGGAAGGATGTATAACACTGCCGTTTATAAATTCTACAAGGGGTCATCCGTCATACCCCTCTTATAAATTTTAACAAGGGTACCAAGTGTAACACCTTTTATTTTCTCCTTGTAGAATTTATAAGATGGGGGAGGGGTTGAGATGGATGATCTTTTGTGAGGAATTTATATGGGGTGTGAGGATGACCCCTTAATAAGAAGGGTGTGAGGGATCATCCCTTATATTTTACACCCGTCGCTTCGAGGGGCTAACCTAGATTTTTTTTTTTTTTTTAAATAGCACTCCTTTTATCAAAATAATTTGAGATTTTTGTATGATGGTTATATTTTGAGAACAACTCCTTTGTGGTAATGATGTTTCATAAAGAACCCTTCAGATGGTTAATAAAAAATATAAGACTCTTGTGAAAGTTACATAGGATATCTCTGTTAGGACTTATAAAAAGGATTTCATAACCTCCTTACATGAGAACATTCTTGAGTAGCGAAGGACATCATGCATGACCTTTAATTCATGACCACCCTTGATATTTGCATAATTGAAAAATTCATAGCCTCCTTGGGTGAGGATTTTTAACATGGTTACAGGGGCATTACAACCTAAAACACCCTTTTGCATTTGAATGAATGAAAAAATCATAGTCCCTCCGTATGGAAATCTTTTTAACATATGTCAAAGAATCATTTCAACCCAAAAGCTTAAGTCTGTTGGGTGACAATTCAAAAGTAATTTTATATTATTTTTTAATACATTCTTTCAAGTGAAAGCCTTTTGGACTTGAAGCTTGCTTATCGTGCTTAACTAAAAAAAAAAACGGAGATGGTGAGATTCGAACTCATGACTCGCTTAATTATTAAGGCTCTAATACCATATAAAATTAAATAGTTGAGATTTGGTTCCATTCAAAAAGCTGAAACCTTATGGTGGATGACCATTTCTCAATTTTATATATTATTCATCTTTAGTTTAACTATTCAATATAGAATATATTCTTTAACACTCCTTCTCACTTGCAGTTCATCTTTTGAAATCTGTCAAGTAATTTGGGCTCTAGGATCTTTACTAGACCGTTAGACTTTTTGAGACTATAATATCATATAAATCTAAAAGTTTAAACTGTTAAGAGATGTTTTAGGAATTGTTTTATATTACTTTCTAACAATATATAAAATTTGAAAACATTTCACTTAAAGTTGCTTTCTATGCGTACTTGTGTTTTGCATATGTTCCAATCTTTATTAACTTAGATTTTTAAAAAGTCATTTCAACTAAAAAACTTAAGTTGTTGAGTAAAACTTTAAGAATAGTTTTATATTATTTTCTAATATACATCCTCATGTGAAAGTCCCGTAGACTTAAAACTTACACAAGTCCACCACTATTTTATGCCTAATTATTTAATTAAAAAAGAAGTGATTTTATATTACTCTCTAATACATCTATTTAAGTGAAAGTCTTTTGGGTTTTAAAATTACGAAGTCCACTAATACCTTATGCTTAATTATTTAATTAGAAGAGAAAGAGAGGATGATGAAATTCGAACTCGTGACTATTTTAGTCACTAAGGTTACGATATCATGTCAAAAAATCATTTCAACTCAAAAATTTAAAATATCGGATGAAGTTCTAAAAATAATTTTATATTACTATCTAACATAAATATCATTCTATCAATATTTTAATTTCTTTTTATGCTCAAAGTTTTGTTCAAGTTAAGTTAACAACACTGTAAGGTCACTAAGAAGATGCCACACTATTTTGTTGCTCATCTTCTAGTTTGAAATGGCAAGCAATATTGTCGTTTCGTCTTGACATTCTCTTTATGAATTAAATCACCATCAAACATTCCTAGTCTTGGGTCAAGACTTGATAACATCTTTATCTTGTTGCTTATCAATGGTAAGATTTTGGAATATTTTCATAATTCTTAGAGTCGTCGAATCATTATATGGTTTGGTCACCACTTATTGACTAACATCAAGCTTTCCAAGCTTAATTTGAGAAGTTCTAATAACTTCTATACTCGAGCTTTCAATATCTCATAAGTAGTTCAATGCTTTTCAAACTAAACTAAGATAACCTAACATATTACTCAATATTGTATTATAGATTATCCTAGATATGTTAAGACACCTAAGTCTTTCTATTGAAAAAAAAAAAAAAACAAGAAAAACATGAAACATAAATCAAAAGCAAAAACAAAAGACACTAAAGTCTAGATTCCCACAATTTCATTTATGAATTCTTAGACCAACTCATTATATGTGGTTCCACAAATTCCATGAATTTCGGTCTAATTTGAAAGCATAATTTTCTTATAACACTTGTACTCCATGTTATATTTCCACAAAATAGTCAAGTTCAAACCAATTGAACAATTTTTACCATAAAAGTCAAATCAATTGAACAACTTTTATCTTAAAAATCACACGTCTCACGCTTAATTCAAGCTTAATTCAATCCAATTGAAAAAATTTCTGTTTCTCAAATTCTTAACCTCAGGTCCTTTCATTTCTTTCCTCGATCAATTAATCAAGATTTTTTTATCTCAATAAAATCAATTAAAAGAACTTATTTTCCATGAGCATTTTAATAAGTTTGCATTCAAAGCAAATTCAATTCAATACTTGTGAATTCAAAACCAATCAAACACCATAAATATACTCAACTAATCGAACATATATATCTAATTGCTCAATATCCTATAAGAATTCACGTTTCATTTCTGTATAATAAATTTGTGAGGATTAACAAATTAATCAATTCTAAAATTTGGTTTTATTAGCATTCAAAATATCCAAGACCTCTCACTAGCCAAAAAAGACCCACTCCCCAGCTTCTAGAAGTAAAATTTTCAAAATTAATTATTATTGTTTTCAGTCAATGTGCTGACAATTTATTGGCCTACAACTGAGATGGGACGTTTCAGCAACAATCGAAATGAACCGAGGGTGGAAGCTGGTTTCTGAGGATCTTCTTAAATCTTAAAACCCCCCAAAATTCCATGTTTGAGTTATGTACTTTGCAACCTCATAATTCCCCAACCGGACCTGTATTTTTTTGATAATCATAGGCTATATGGAAAGTTGAGATGAAATATTATCAAAAGCAACAAAGATTCAACAACAATGATTGAGTATATATAGGATTTATATGCCTCGAAACAGTAACCATCAATCATTTTGGAAAAACCTTAAAGATGAAAAATCCTCCCAACTCACAAGTCAAAAAATTACCAAATTTCCAAATTTAATCCTTGTGCCAAGATGCATATACGATAAAAATTTGATGCCAATTAGTTTCTCTGCCAAGAGTCACAAAATCCAATATAAATATGCTTGAAAACTAAAAACCAAGCAATATCGGCGAGAAAAATGGTATTTTAGTCATCCAATAAATAAAAAACCAGTACACATATAATTTGAGGGATTTGACTATAGATGTTCTTATAGCAAGGAAAAATAGTATACGGTCAATAGAAGTTACCTATAACAGATTTTGCGTAAACTTTTACATAGATGACTAAAAAAGATAAGTATTTATTGATAAATTATTGATAAATCTAATCTTTCATGCACATCCAAAACATATAGAAATGGATTATCATTTTATACGTATGTTATAAAATAGTGTTAAAAAATTTATTTGATATTAAATAAAAACAATAAATAAGCAATTTATAAAGTTGAAAAAACTACCAACTACAAAGTTTAATTTTTTAGATGATTACTAAAAAATGATTGATATTTTCGTTGAAGATTGCAGATGTCCTCTCCAATCTTTGCTGCCTACTGTGTTTCATTATCTCAAGTCCAGGTTTGCATGTTGTGTCTACTCTCCCTACGCTTGATGAGGTGTATTACAATAGTTAGAGTATCTTCATAATATGAAGATATAATCCTATACATGTTAGGTTCAAAGAAAAATATCAAGGTAATTAAAGGCTGCTAATTAATTGTTTAAACCTGCTTTCTTATTCTCCGATTTCTTCTCTCTAGCTCTAACTACCTCCTTATGATTGATTTTATTAGTTTAAACAGAAAAAAATGAAAAAAAAATTGAACAACTATATAATGTTTAAATTGATATAATTAAAAATACAGAAACTTATTGAAAACTCCTAATATATATATAAAAGGAGAGATTAAGCTATTTACATATCCTAAAAGCAATTTGTACCAATTTTTTTTTATGTTAAAAACTATTTCTCCTAACTTTTTTTTTCTTTTTTACATTTTTATCAAGAAGAGAGGGCAAAAAAAAAAAAAAGAAATTAAATAATTTCATATTTACTTAGAACTGGGGTGTTCTTAGTTAAATATAGAAGCTTGATATAGATATAAAATATAAATAGATAGAGAGATTAATATATCTTTTCTTACAACTCAAGAATATTGATACATACACAAAGTCCTACATAATTAATAGACAAATATTTTGTATTTATGCATGTCATGCATGTGAATTCATATCCTATATTTTGAACAATTGTATTGAATCATGCATCTTTTTGTCAATATAACCATCTTCATTTTTCTCAAATAATTCAGTTCCTTTCTTGCCTTCTGCCTCGTTGCCATATCCTTCATGGATTATCAAAGGCAAGTGAATAGAATCATCAAAATCATCAAAATCATCTATAGTGTCAATGGCGATGCAAGAGCAGCGCTCTAGAGAGGTGAAAAAGACTGTGGCAACACCATTGATTAGCCATGTACCTACTCCATGGAGCATTCTACAGGCTGGAACACATGAGCTGGGACTCGTTGGTGGCTGGACCTTGGGCTCGACAAAGTGTCTCCCTCCTCTACAGTAGCACCATTTTGGGCAGTTTCTAGAAACAAAAGCGGTATCCATTCAAGAGGGTTTTAAAAAGGACATTACCTTGCAAGCTAGAGAGGTTGACTGGTTTTTAAAGGGTTTAACTACTGGCTAAACACGCTTGTCTTCTAGAGGTTTGTACACATTAACAGTGCCGTAATTTTTTAGAATGTTGATGCCATATATGCCCTTTTGGACATTAATAAACCCAAGTTGAAATATGGTATAATTCTTGGCTGGAATTGGAGGATACTTTGATGAAAAGGTTGGGGAAATGGGACAGAATAATTGTTATTTCTCTATTTAAGTCATTTTCTTTGGGGGTTAGTTGAGATACATTTCGTGTGCTTCGGTTTTTTAATCATTGATGCCACCTTTTTGACATTATAAGTTTTATTTTTTTTTACGAAAGATGATTTCATTCAATCATAAAACAGGAAGCTCACAATGACTTACAGGTTTCATTTTGAAATTATTATAGGTTACCATCAATATAGGCCAGTCAAAAGCATTATTGTTGAGACTCCAGCAAGGTAATTAATCATGATGTTTGGTCAAATTTCCTGAGGGCAATAAACTTTGTTTCTGACTATGTATTAATTAATATTTCTTCTTTCTTTCTTTTTTTTTCCTAAGAAAATGAAAGTTTAATTAAATAGTTAGACACATTCTAGTGTTATCTACTAGTTTGGCAGCATATCATGGAGCAGGCGATCTGCAGTGGTCAAGAGACCTGAGAAGAATCAGGAATAAAAATAGCTTTGATCACTGAGTCACTCGAAGTATTCAACCTAGAAACTTTTGTCATCGATTTGATGAGGATCTTAGGTTTGGAAGCAATTCTTTACCCAATAATCACTTCAAGCATCAACATTTAACAAAGTGTTGTGCCAATTTAATTTAAAAGTATATATTTGTCGCTACCCGACGTCGGACGGGACTCCTCGAAAATATCTAAAAATTAGACTGAATATTTACAAGTTTATTTATAGAGTTTGGAGTCGCCACCTAGTATTGAAGGAACTAGGAACCTAAAACGGACAATCGGTTCGGAGATTCTATGGTAAGGAGTTGGTTACGCTTTGGGAAGATATCATCACCCAAAAGCGCCCTTTCCGAAAAAAGATACCATATCCGGTTTAACTCTAAATTTATCTCCTAAAATATTTTATTTACGTCAAATTATTTTTTTGATTTTTTAAACAAATTGAATTTTTTAGTTTTTGAGCGTGGCATCGTATTGAAACGATCGTCGATCCCCTTCGTCGGGCGACACATCGATTCAAACATCGGATCCACTTTAAGCCTTGACACAACCGGTGTGTCGGAGGATATTTTGATTTAAACAATGATTTTTTTTTGTGACGTCGGTCCCAATCGGATAGGAGACTTCGTCGAGAATTTTAGATTTTTTTGTGTCATGTCGAGTCCTTACCATTTAGGAGACTTCGTCGAGACTCATTGATCCAATATTTTAATCACATAAAAAAAAATCACATATTAGAATAAATTCCACAACTAAATATCTCTAGATTTTCGGACATGCATAAGACAAAAAATTATTACAAAACACATAAAAAAATGAAAAAAAAAACAAACACAAATAGTCCAAAATTCACATACATTGTAAAATTATCAAAATGCCCCTGGAATACCAAGAGTCACTCCTAAGCGATCGTTCGTCTTTCGGTGATCTGTTCCGGCGCGTGGACCACCCATCCTTGTAGATCCGGTCATTGCAACTCCGATGACGGTGGTTTCAACCGGAGACGACGCGGAGGAGGGGGATCGGAGCCTTCAAAGGTTCGGCGGATCTTCCTTTTTCACCGGCGATGAATCCGACCTCATATCGGGATTTCAAACCCACCGGTCGACTCACAAGGCCGAGAGAAGAAGTTCGTGGTGGTTAGGACCTCCAATTCTTTCTAGATCAACCAATTTTTTCGGGTTTATCAAAAAGAATCGAAAACGGGCCGAGGTCAATTAAACTCGTTTTACGATGTCTTTGGGCCGTGAATTTTATATGAAAATACTCGGGGAGACCGGTGATCGGGTCTATGGTGGTCGATCTCGTGTTGGTGATCGGATTTGAGAGAAATGAATGGGTCTTTATTCGGGTCAAGTCGTGGTATTTTGATCTTTGATTTCTCTCTCCTCCGTGATTTTTCTCTCTCTAACCGGTGTTGATAGACCGATCTAGGGATGGGCTACACGTGGGTATGTTGATCGGGGTCAAAATATGATCGAAAAACGATCAATTGAGGCTCAAAAGTTTCGATTGGGTAAATGGGTAATCGGGTATGGTTATTGGGTTAGGGCGTGTTTGGCTTCTTCTTTTTAGGGTTTCAATATATATATATATATTTTTTTTTTTTTTTTTTTGGCTGCATTTTTTCTTCTTCTTTTTTTTTCTTCCTCCTTTTTCTCCCCCGCAAATTGAAATTCAAAAGCTTTTTATAGGCCGAAAACGTCCTAAGATTTCTCCCAAAATCAATTCAAAAATTTAATTTTAATTATCGAATCTTAATTTTGAGATTTTTCTAGCTAAAAATAAGGAGATTGTAATTAAAAAAGATTTGTAGAAGATTTGAACAGATTTTTGAATGATTTTACGGAGATTTTATATTTTTTCCTTTTTTTTGTTTTATTATTCTTTTTTTTTCCTTTAGAGGAAAAAATTGGGTTATGACAATATTAATTTTTTTTCAAAGTTATAACATTATATTATTAAATTAAATGGAAGTTAGGAGAAATTTTTTAATTATAAGTTTTCTTAATACCCTAATAATATAAATGATTAATAGCCTTATCTCTCTAATTTATTCTTCCGGTTAATTTTTTTAGCAAAACACCAAAAATTAATCATGTGACTTGCACATGATCTTTATTATGAAAATGCCCCTCTAAGTCATTTTCTTTTTCTTCCTCTTCCTCTTCCTCTTCTCTCCACCATGGCTGCCACCTGCTTTCTCTCTCCTGGAGGAGAGGGGAGGAAGAGGACAAAAAATAAAAAAGAAAAGAAAAAATAATGAGAAAAAGAAAAATGAAAAAAAGACTTGAGGGATATTTTTTACAAAAATATATGTGCAAGTCACACGGTCAAACTAAAAATTTGAAACGTAATAAAATCGTTTTACATGAACTCTATACTTCGCTGAACTCATTCTTTGGGCTTTGTCTAAGTTCATTGATGGGCTTGATATTCAGGCCTAATGGCTGGGCTTAATGAAATTGGGTGCTCTTTCTTAAATTGTTGACAAGAAGAGTATATTACAACTCCATACAACCAATTTATTAAAGGATAAAAAAAAAGTCAAACGTTATTGTTTTATAGGTTATGCCTATATATAATCCTTATACTTTTCTAATTATTTTAATTGAAATCCTTTATTTTTTTATATTAATTGAGTTTCTTTATTTGTTTTCATCTTTTTTTATGCTGTTAATTGGTGAGTTAACATAACACATTTATTTTTAAATACATGACACTTGTTATACATGAGATTTTGATTAAAAAGACTGTCAAAATAATTTTAAAATTATAAAATTTTAATAAAAACAATTTAAAAAGTATACGGATAAATTATTATTATTATCTTAAATTTTGAATACTTGAGTCAAGATAAGTTCGACCATTCAAAAATCCTCCATTATTAACCAATAATGATGGAAACCTTTTTTTCTTTTTGTGAGCACGGAGAGTTTTTTTATTTCTCAGGAAAAAAATCGTACTCTTAGTTTTATAGAACTGAGAGATTTATTTTTCTTAATTGATAAGAAAAGTAAAATATTATGAAACATAAATATTTATCTATCTACATCTTATGAAATAATCTCATAATTTTTTTTTATTATTATTTTTCATATCACCACCCCACAATTGAATAAGACTCCACCGTAAGTTCTAACTTTTTTTTTTTTTTTTTTTGGTCCAAGCCAAAAAGTCCAACAATCAAAGTTCCATTATTGGTAGCATCAAAAGACTAAACGGGCCAAGGTGAAACCATACAAAAGTGGCCCAAGCTATGATTATAAAAATAAATAAATAAATCTGGACTTATAACTACTCATTCACTGTAGCATTTCCTTTTTTTTTTTTTTTTTTCTCTCTTCCTTTTTTTTTAAAGGCTGGCCTTATATATATGTATAGGGCTGGGCTGCTTGGTTTTCGATTTCTAATTTTCATTCACTGTCATTATAGCATTTTCTTTCTTTCTTTTCTTTTTTTTTTTTTTTTTTGGCTTGGCTGTTGGCAATTGAGAAAAAAAAGAGGATTGATTTTCGATTTCTATATGTTCTCATATAGCAATTGTTTCCTTTCTATATAACTAATTTTTTTTATATTTTTTTTATCATAAAATTAGATATAAAAATATAAAAAAGATTGTTTTTTTTTTTTTTAGTTTTACATACAAATTGATGGTAATAAAATATATATGATATTTTTTTAGATTTTAGTTTGAACACATATATCTGATTATATTATTTTTATTATTTAAAATTTATTTCTTATTAAAATTCTAATCGAGTTAGTTTTTTAATTTTATATAATTTTATTTATTAATAAATTTGATTTTTTTATATATGGCTTTTGAAATAAAATTTTAAAACATAATTATTTTATTTTTTAAAATATATTGTTATAATTTATACGATTCATTATTTTTATAATTTTTAATTGAGAATAACGTAGTTGCATATATAAATTTCGATGAGAGAGAGAGAGAGAGAGAGAGAGAGAGAGAGAGAGAGAGAGAGAGAGAGAGAGAGAGCTAAAAGTGTGTTTTAGATAATTTGAATTAATTTTTTAAAAATAATAATCAGTTAAAAAAATAATTTGACTTATTTTTAAAAAAATTCATAATTAGTAAAAAAATTCACGAGGTTATATATATATTGTTTTGTAATATATAAATTTTGATGAGAGAGAGAGAGAGAGAGAGCTACATGTGTGTTTTAGATAATTTGAATTAATTTTTTTAAAAATAATAATCAATTAAAAAATAATTTGGCTCAATTTTTTTTAAATTAATAAT